GAATTGTCACGTGATACTTACATGTCCAATTAAGGAACAATACTGCAACGTTCCCTTTCAAAATTCACCAAAAAAGTTGTTGCATTAGTACTCAATTTTAGATGTCAAGTGAAATGCATCCTTTTCATCTTTATAGTGTCAAGTGCAATGCATGTGAAATACTATTATGAACACAAATGTGTAAAATGTTAGATAAAGATTTAGATAAAAAATTAGTAGATTTGATAAAAAAAAAAAAAAAAAAAGATAAAGATAAAGATAAAATGTATGATTGAAAAGTTGATAAAAATTGTAATTCCCATAAATATTTAAGGTTCTGGCTACAAATTTTTTTCATTATTATTATTTTTTATTTAAGGAAGGGTGGGGTGGGGTATACATTTGTCATTTTACAAGACTTCAATGAAGAAAATGAAAGACATGATTGTTTTCCATAACATTTGCTTGTTCTGAGAGGTACTACATCAAAATGAAAGGATAAGATTATTTTGCTCAAAATATTTAGCCCACGTTTGGTCAGGATTAAAATTTGATTTTAATCCAAGTGAAAGTCAAACAATCAATATTAACCACATCTTTTATGGGTCCCACAACTTTTCAACCACAAATTTCAAAAACTTCTATTACAATCTATTAAAAATCTAATTTTAATCTCCCAAACACCCCCCTTAAATTGAAAGAAAGGTGGACAACATTTAATGAAAGGTCAATAGTCCTCTTCGGACTATGATCCCACTTTGCTTTTCATAAACTACTCTACAATATTTATTTTCTTCCTTAAATTTCACCATAGAATTGACGCGTGACATGTAAAGTGTAAGTAAATACTACCAATTAAGTCATATGCAAATAACTTTCATCATATTATTTTCATAGTAGGAACAAAATCTTTGAAAAATTTAATAAATATTATTAATAGACGCGATTTTTATTTATTTTTATTTGTTTCCGAGTTGATAAAAATTGTGAGTAATTACAATACAATTTCCAGGTCAAACACCACATAAATATATTTAATGAAAAAAAAATAATGAATTTATTGTGGTAATTAGATTGGTGAAGAAGCGTGATCCGCATGATATAGTTTAAATGGCACGCAAAGGATAAAGCTGAGAGTTTATATTTAACTGATATACGCCTTGACAGGTACTAATCTCCATCATCAAACTGCCAAAAGCGCGTGATTCTTAATCCTTTCTTCCACTCCACCCCACATATCAAACCTTTTTCTTTTTTTTTTCATATGAGAAACGTTCCTCTGCTCCTCTAGTACTTGCCGTTTAAACGTGCCCATCCCCTATTGGTTTAAAATCTTTTAGAGATCAATTTCAACGGAATTATTTTAGTCAACGTTTGTCATATATAGAAGATTTTCTCCTATTGATCTTGTTGTCATATATAAAACATTACCGTATGTAGAAGATTGTTTCTTGTCGTATTACCTTGTACAATATATTATGTTTTACTATACAATTATTAAAGAAAATAATAAGAATACCACTTTAACATGGTATCAAAACAATAAAATGCTAGCGTTAGTGCAACCGAATCCTCTATTGTCATTCTCAAGTCCACCAATGACGTTTCTTCTTTATATTTTGTTTATTCTTTGGATTCTACTATCGCCGCTCTCTTTTCTTCTCTCCAATGGTGATAATTACCTACAATGGAGTCGTTCTATGCGAATTTCCCTATGTCAAGAATAATGTTGGCTTTGTTGATGAGTCATTGAAGAAACATACGGATGTTATCTTTGCTCAACTTTGAAGTCATTCCTCAAATTCATTTTTAATCACATTTCATGTCATATATAACTTTTCCAACCACTTATTTTATGAACTTTTATTTATTTATTTTTTTAAAAAACCTGATTTTAATTTAAACCGAACTGTGGTTGGTTACTATACAAATTTAGAAACAATATTGGTTATGTTTGAGTCCAATTTTTGAGAAAATAGTATTTATCGAATTGACTTTTTGAAGATTATGTGATTAAAAAGTATGAAAAACTTTAAGTTTATGTGTAAAATTATTTTATTAGAAGAATATGTGTTTAAAAATAAGTTTGAAGAAAAATAAATTTTTAAAAAATAATTGGATCAAGCAGAGTCGAGACAGATGTATAGAGAATTTGCGTGGACGCAATCCAGTGGATCTTCGCTCTTTAACCAAAAAAGTAAACTCCCGGATTAACCTCCAAATTGGAGTCACGTGATACTGCGCGTACGAAACCGCGTAAACCGTCACCATATATTCTCACCGGCAACCCCTTCAAATGAGAAAAATATCTATTGTTCATTGAATTTCTCTCTAAAAATGGAGAAAAACTCGAAAAACCCAGCGATCTTGTTAACCGAAGCAGAGGAAGTTGAAAAGGTATTCGAGAAATTCGATATCAATGGAGATCACAAAATCTCGTTATCAGAACTCGGTGAAATTTTGAAGGCGCTCGGCTCGAAAACTGGAGAGGAGGAATTGAAGCGCACAATGTCGGAATTAGACACAGACGGCGATGGTTCCATTGATATTAACGAGTTTAAGGCATTCTACTGTGGCAGTGGCGACAATAAGGAGTTGAAGGATGCATTTGATTTGTACGACAAGGACAAGAACGGGAAAATCTCGGCGGGTGAGTTGCACTCGGTACTCAAGGACCTCGGTGAGAAGTGTAGCCTCAAGGACTGCCGACGAATGATCAGCACCGTCGATGCTGACGGCGACGGGTGCGTTAACTTCGAAGAATTCAAAAAGATGATGAGTAGGTAGGCCTTCGTCATAGCATGTGACATAGAATTTCTGAATTCTCACTTTACTTCTCTGTTCTATTGCAATAAGTAACTTTTAGATAGTGGTATCAGGTGAATGAGTATTCACAATTACACTTCACCTTCTTCCCTTGCTGTATTGTTCTATTTTGTCTGGTTATGGAAGGACATTTGTGAAATACCACTAAGTTTTTGTTGCATCTGCAAATAGTTTACGTCAATCCATTAATAAAAGTGTTAGCAGTAGAACTGGTGGTGGAACTATTGCGATTTTAATTCAATGAACTAAATTTTGTTGATAATTCAATGGAATTTGATCCAATAAATCTAAGAAGTGTATGGTTTTTAGGACTTTAATGGATTTTTGATGTATGTTGCATAATTATTCAACACGGAATTGGAAAAGTGGATTGAGATCGAAAGAGCAAATGTGCTTATCTTTTGAGAAAAGTAATTCTTTAATTTTTTTTTAAAAAATATATCATTACTTCATTTGATTCTTTAATATATAATTACTTAATTTAATGTTTTTGTTGAGATGTCATTACCCTGCACATGGAGCGAACAATTTTTAGGATTAAACTATATGTATTACAAAACGTACTACATGAATTACTATATCGCCAAGTGGCGGCGCCCTCTTGGAGGGTCGGCTGTGGGGCCTCGCGACCCTCCAATGGCGGCGGCCCCACAGCCGACCCTCCAATAGGGCGCCGCCACTTGGTGATATAGTAAACCATGTGTTATTATATGTAGTACATGTATCATAGTCCCAATTTTTATGACACAACATTAACAAGTTAGAAAATTTATGCTCGAAACTGTACAATACTCATTTAAACGTTTCAATTTTTAATTTAATATTCGTTTTGTCGTAATTTGGCAAATCTTCGGCCATGTCACAATTTTGGTTGGCCATGTTGACTGACAAATGCATACATAATTAGTGGCTTAACTGAAGGAACTTTGGAAGTTTGTAGGGTATATATATGGAAAAGAATTCGATGATTAAAGTGATGGCTACTTTCAGGACGACATATGCTTGTTCCAAAGCAAAAGTCTCTCTTACTCGACCAAAAGAAGGCATTCGCCCTTTCCAGCGAAAGCCATGGCACAACGTGTCACTGATTGGAGAAGCGATACAGACAAAAAGAAGTTTTAACCTATATTTTATATTAGTATAAAAAGTGTCGTGGAAAATAAGTAAACGGTAACTTACTTTAAAGAGCAAATCCATTTGTAGAAATCTAACAGATTACTCACATGAGGCGAGTAGGCCCACCCCATGTGAGTAAAATATTGAAAAAAAGAACCCGCCCACCCCCCTGTCGTGAGTATCTCTGTGCATTCTGCTTCTGTACGTGAAGTAGAATTCTACTTTAAAGTACCTCCAACCTTAATTCAAGAAATATAGAAATCTTTACACACCTTCGGGGGTGGTCGAGTTGGTGGAACAGGTGAACGCGGAGACCAAAGGTCACGAGTTCGAATCCCCTGCTAACACTTCCTCGATCGAGCCCAAGCCCAGTGCAATTTACCTTTCCTGTGTGATTTGCGAGCTACTGCACATGTAGCGGAGTTTACCTAGTGCGCACTCACAGTGATCGGGCCTCCGCCCTTCAGGGTGGTCGGAGCTCCCCAGACGGATAGGGACTGCGGGTTTTACGTCTAAAAAAAAAAAAGAAAAATAGAAATCTTTACAATTGTTTCATTTCAGAGCATGACGGGTGGATGACTGCCTGGCTTTGACTTGCTTAAACGTGATTAATCATAGTAATGTATAAAATGAACAGACAATCTCATGGGCAATAGCACTAATAATTCATTATGCATGCAATTTATATCACGTGCTAGCCAAATGTCTTTCGCTGGCCATGTTAAGATGCTTTGTCATTTCCAGGCAGGATGCACAAAAATAAAATATTTTATTTTATCCTTTCAAAGGTCACACAACCCTGTAATGTATAATACGACATTTTGTTTTTTTTATCAAGCCTTTAAGGGAAGATATTAAGAACAATTCCATGCAATCGGGAGATATTAAAAGGAACAAATTAGGGCTAAAATATGTACATGGAAGTGTGGTTCACAAGACAGTTTCCAACTATCGCTGTAACAACAAACCAGTCGAGATCTTCGAGCAAGTTTCTAGTTTGCTCAAAACCCAAATAAGCTTCCTACTCATGCTATAACCTACCACCACAGACAACAAACAAAGAGGCGCCTCACATAAAATCAATGCTGCATGAGACAATCTTTATGAAGATGTGAAGTGGCTCGTGGCACACCACGCTGATGGTTTGCGTTGATGTCAACTTCTACTTGCGAGAAACCAGCCGCCTCAGCAATAAAGTGTGTCACCTCCTGAAACCTCTTTTCTGATAGAGAAACCTCAGAAAGAAGTCTCCAAACATATTGTTCAGATGCTTCATCGTAATCCTTTCTTCTCTTAAGCACTATGTGTCCACTGATTTCCCAAACAGCGGGATTCACTTGAGTGTCCAGAAGCTCCTGTCCTACTTCTCCGAGTGCTTGTTTCTTGGCATAACACTGGCATTTCATCAAGAAAGTAACGATTAGCTTCCAATGCAATACGGAAATATATTGATGAGGACATTCAGAACTTCAAAAACCAAAAACGTCTCAGAATTATACGTGCATATAGGAAAATATGTGTTACATAATATGTGATTCATTTTTACCAAGTCTGATACATAAATCAGTAAAAATTGTTCTACTAAATTCATATAGTATGTACCGCAAAACCAACATCTCCGATGGTCAAATAAGCGGTAAGAAATATCAGATTAAATGCATATCGAAGCTACCATGCATCATTCTTTGCACATATTTACGAGCGTGGAACAACCATATATTCCATGTTAAACAAGACTTGATGATGCAGGATTATTGATAATTCATGGTCATGAAATTCTGAGATAAGTTACCTGAGGTAGCAAAAATATTCTTCTGCCACAATCAGCTATCAGTACGTTGAAAGGAATATTATTATTTTGGAGGAAAACACAGGAATCGGAAACTGCATCAGATAAATCGCGCAACGTGCATCCACCCTCAAAAACAAGACCAGACACAGGATAATCCAGTAACTTAGATACCATCACACCAGTATTAGTTGGTCCCTTGCTGGTCATTAATCTGCAAGTTGATGCTTTCTCTATTGGTAATGGAAGTGACAAGTAATATGCCTGTCGACACACATTTCAAACAATTATTAAACTCACACAAAGAGTTGAATGACAAATCACATTGAACTAAATAACAGAATGTCTGCTTTATCACCTGGAAGTGGAGGTGATTGATGGTGGCAAATGCACCCAAGCTATTATAACCCACTCGGAAGGCGGGATCTGCTGTTTCTCTAGCTAAGTGAAGGGCAAGCAAGAAACTTTCATGATCAATCCTCTGCGGGAAGCAATCAAGAACACGAGGTATCAGAAGCACATGCCCATACTCAATAGGACTCACCTGAAAAAAAAAACGCAGGCACTCTATAACTCAAAAAGTTACCATATGACATTGTATGCAACTGATATTATGTAACAAAATAACTCACATTGATGGCAACAACACTGGGTGAGACAGAAGCAGCATCAACTGCTGAACTGAGGAAGAAATGCATCTCATTGTCATTGCTTGGTTCAAACCTGAAGAGGACTTCCTCTTGGCCCACTTTTGTAAAGTTGAACTTGTTATCATCAAATGTCTGAAGAACCTGATCAACACGAAATTCAGTTGCTCGTTTCTTAAGGTGGCGCCCCTCGTTTAGCTGTGCAATAAAACCATATGTGCCTGGAATGACCTTTGTCTCACAGGTGGTCACATCATACCTAAAAAGGCCCCTACTCATGCGCTCCTCCCACTGTCCCAGCAACAAATTATTCAAAAAGGACATTGGAGGTCCTTTTCCACAAGACAAGTCCATGCCATTCTCAACCATCTCGTGCTCCAAATTCTTGAATGCATAGATAGGTAGCTTGGAAACTGAAAATGTACAAATAATCAATTCAATTGAACAAGATATCTTAGAATGCAATTCACAAAAAAGAAATTAGACATTTCTCTTCACAGTCCAATGGATTGCTAGATTTTTGCCTGATGTTTACATGTCAAGGACAATTATTCCAGTTGAACTGCTTAAGAATTAAAGCTTTTGTTGTCTTCAAATTATAAAACCAGGAATAAAGATGCACAATATAAGACCTCTCTTTTTTTTCTAAATAATGACAATGAAACAGACACTTGGAATTTAGTTTGGTTAGCATGTTTAACTATTTGTTCTAGTACAGTGTTGTTGTTCGAGTCTGTTATTATGGTATTCCTCCGCCGAGGTTGAATTAATAAATTTCGGAGTTAGAAAGAAAAAAAAAAACAAACAGACAGACACTTGGAAAAAAAAAAACCAAACCAAAGAATCAAAACTTGGGTCAATATTAAATTATTCAAAAATATTTAATATATATTTATCTACTGATGACTTAAAAAGTAAAAACATACCAGGCAAGCAGCACTTTCCAAGGCAATTGCGGCCACATCCTCCAGCCTTGCTTTCCAGGTCCTCAGATGAAGCATTCTCTTGATAATTAGAGACCACTGTTGGCACCCGTTTTATAGTCAACATTCTTTCTATATACATCCCGTTCCGTCCTGGATCTATGCGTCTTTATACGCGTTCGCGCGACTTTCTATTCTATCGCTTAAATTTCAAAAAGGGAACAAAAATTGCTAATTCAAAATACATAGAAAATCTAATCGAAAAGTTAGTAGGCGGCGGTGGCAGAGGAAGACAGGAAAAAGCCACCGCCAGCAAGGAAGAGGATATTGGAGGGGCAGCCGCCTTCGGAGGGTAATGCACCCCGGCCGCCGTGTGGGGATGGGATCCGGTGCTTGTCGTTCACCTTAGGATTGAAAATCACCTCGAGTTGAATTGTTTGAGATTGGTAAAAGTAACCGACGGGTTCAAGAAAAGCCGTGATTAAAATTTTTTTTGATTGGTATTTAATTGCCTATATATGGTAACTATATGAGAATTAAATTCCTGAAAGATATTGTATATCTGATTTTGCATTCATGGAGATTAGGGAATGGTATTCCGTTAGTTTCTCTCCTTCGCGTGTTGATAATTCAACTGCTTCGTTTTCCAATGCCATTGGCGGTCAACTTTCGTTGGAATTCCAGAGTCTTTGTCGGAATTTGCAAGTTCTTAGCACAAGATACCAAAAAGCCCATATCCATCGGTTGGGCCACATAGGCCCACTCCTTCCTGTCTATCCTAAATGGGCAGATTTGGGTCCTACAGGTCAATATCTCACTTTTCTGTTTAGATGTTTTGTCTACCACAACGACAAGCTTTGTCAATTGGGCAATTTACACGACGAATTGAATTGTAAAAAATATTGATTTTTGTTAACTATTAAAAAATTAAACGTAAAGTAGAGCTTGGAGAAAAACACGAAAATTATAGTTTATATAATTTTTTGACATATATGTTTTTCTTTTTTACATATTTTTAATTTTTTTTACTATGAAGTTTCTGTATTTACGCTTTTTGTTATTCGTATACGTAATTTTTCGAAATTGTAACTTCTTGGTTATCCCGTAATTTTTTAAAATTGTAACTTATACCTAATGGTAAATCCTATTACAGTGTGTTAATATTTGTTGCATTGTATGTAATTTTTTTTAAGAGTAATTAGCACATAACGTCCTCATCTTTTATTGTTAATGTGAAAAATGTCCATACATTTTATTTTTTGACATTTTCACCCTTATTTCTACATTTCACTGTGCAAAATGTCATTTTCACATATTTTCTCAATTAAAAATTATGAAAAGACGAATATACCATTCTCTTTAAATAAAATAAAAATAAAAAAATAATTACAATCACAGTCCCAACATTTTTTAAAAAGCACAAATAAGTCATAAATAAATTATTAAAAGGGTAATTAGCATATAAATCTTTTACTATTATTGCAAAAATCGTCCATATCTTTTATTTTTTTCACATTTTCACCATTAATACACATTTAATTGCGCAAACTATCATTTCTATTCATTTTCATCCAATTTCTTAACAAAAAGATGTGAAATGACAAGAATGCAAAGGAAAATATTTAACTAATTTTTTTTTTAAAAAAATATATTCTTCATTCTTCTATAGATTTTGCCTAAGGTTAAAATTTGTTCTATCACTTTGCATAAATATTTAAGCAGTATATTTTTTCCTTATAAATTTTTCTTCTAATATATAAAAAAAAAATCATTCTTATTTAGCGTTGGAAATGTTTAATAGTAAAATTCCTACCGTTGACCACCATTTCCAACAATTTTCGGCCACTTTTCTTGACCAAATCTATCATATGTGGGTCCCAGTTGATCAAAAAGGGTCAAAAAATTGATTTTAAAAATCTCCTTGAAATAGGCGCATAGTCATTTTATATGACGAGATATGCATATTGGTAAAATTATTCGAACTGTACACTATGAAAAATGCGGTTCCCAAAAATCGGAAAAACTGACTTTCACAAATAATTACATAAAATTTCTGAGGAAAAGGAAGTAGTTTTAGAAAGGAGTGGTTATACCGCCGCTACAATTTTTATTTGATACATCACATTTTAATTACAATTAAACTTTTCAATCTTCGCTCATTATAAAAATTATTTCCTTAATTTTTTTATCGAATTCTTATCTTCAACCTTCCATGATATCAAGGAAGAACAACTCTCTTAATCCAAAGGTATGGTTGATTGATATCAAGGAAGAACAACTCTCTTAATCATGTCTTCTTCACAAAGCTCTCATCCTTTTACTTTATCTAAACCTTGTTCAGGATCCTCTTCTTCATCTACTTCCTTTAGAAAATCGAATGCTTCTAAGATGGAATATCTTTATGAGATATCTTATCTTTCTGAATCTGATAAAGTTCCTCTCACAGATCTCCCTCTTGTAAATCCATATATTCCTTACACAAAACCTCGTCAGT